TCTCTCTCACACTAGTGAAATTAAGAAATGAAAAATTCACTAATTTCATACCAAGATGACAGACAATGCAACTCTTCTTGCAAAAGATGCATGTGGAATTGAACGCTATACTAGTTTGTGACACTAGCGCCAAAGAACTGGAAGTTGCTATATGGCTTCTAGGATTCAAATACTCACACAAAAGTGCATGGCCCTCTAATTAAATATTCATTATGAAGCCAACCAGACAGCCAAACTAACACAGCCAAAAATTTCCCAAACATCAGTTCCATAAATAGTCCCAATTTGAAACTGAGTAACTTAAAAAAATTAAACACTAGAAATAAGAATTGGAGTACTAGGAATACTCATTTGTAATATAAACCTAGTATTTTTTATCTCTTTTGATGCTGGAGCAGATCCAAAGAAATTATAGAGATGAGAAGAGCCTATTAATTACCAAGAACTTGATCAATAACCCATTGAAGTCAAAGGAAAAAATGTCCATTAAAATTCCATGTTTATAGTGCTTTTTGCCAGTCTAAGTTCAGATACCTGGAGTGATATGTACACATATGCATAAATATAATTTATTTCCCTTTAGGGCACAGTAATGATCTGGAGATGACTGTAACAGAGTCTCTCTTTGTCTGGAGCCCTGAATAGGGACAATCTGTTAGAAGCAGGTGGGTGTATTCCACATGGTTGATCTTCTATAATTACAGGATGCAGATCCTACATGCCATGTTCTCTAAGGGTTTCAGTTAAAACATCAACCTCACTATGACTTTAGCGTGAAATTTCACACCCCATGTTAGACCAGCTCTATGACAAAGAGGCTTCTGTGTGGTTTATGTAAACTTTGACAACACCCTGAAGTCCTCACTAGGAATTAGATTAATACTTTCACCTATTCCGTTGCTCTACTGATGGGGAAAAATAACTTCTGCTCGAAGACTTCAGTAGGGTAAACACTAAAATCATCATGGCTCCTCTACAACTTCAGTCCTCCTTTCCTCATTTATACTCATTAAGAGCCATGAATCCTGTTCTAGTGCTAATTTACCACTGAGTAATTGTTCCTACTAGTGCTTGGGACACTTATTATTGCAAATAAGTCACCTACCTGAATATCTGTGAATAATATAGCACTGCAAATGCTGAAATGACATGAATTCACTCCATTTTTTCTTGAATCCACCCCACTCTAGTTTGATAATTTGTTTTCCTGACTTTGAATTGCCATTGCAAATTGTTCCTGTCCTCTTAGCATGGAGGTTTGTAGTAAAGAATCGTGAGATTGACAGTAGTCTTTTTTTATTCAACTGATTGCAATTTCTTTACTAGTGGGTGTTATGGATTCTAGGCACACAACACTCCTGATCACTGGAAGTGATTTACATTGTTCTTCACTGGAATATTCCATTAAGTGATGTGTCATCTTTCTTCAAAGAACAATTTGTTCACAGGGCAGTGTTCCTTTTCAAGTACAATATGCAACACTATTTTACCTCTCACTCAACATGGCTTTTTGTTTCTGTTCCCTAACAGTATGTTTCCATTTATTCTGGCTCCTGTGGACAAAGTGAATCTGTTTGCAAGGAGCCAAATGAGATTTCAGATTTTTCTAATACTTTGTGTCCCTGTATGTTTTTGAGTAGGTTAAGGCATTTGGAGGTGATAATAAAGATCTCAGCTAGAATACAGGGCGTTCTCTCAAGACATTGTGAGGAGCAGACACAGACGAACAGACCTAAACTCAAAAACCACAAGCCAAATAAAGAAAACTAACTTTCTGGGTGTTTAAATGTTGGGGCTTTTTTGGGGGGGTTGGAAGGGGGCGCTTATCTTTGAAGTGTAGCTTAATTTACTATCAAGCCTCAGCACAGCTGGTACTGGAGTGGTACAAACCATGTGTTTGTACAGAATACGGCAGCTAAAGACAAAAGTTCTCCAAATTTTCAAATACACCTCATTATGGTAGCCTAAAGATGGTTTACAACCTCTATTATTAAAGGTTCAATAAAATTTAAGTGCAATTCTTACTATTCCAATACACTACGGTGATAGGTGCTTTATAAAGTTAGACAATCACCCTCAATGCTTTTTTTGCCTCTGTCTTCGCATTCAAGGTCAGCTCCCAGGCTATCACACTAGGCAACACAGTATGGGAAGGAGGGGGCAGCCTTCAGTGGGAGAAAGAACAGGTTAAGAACTATTTAAAGTTGGACATACACAATCCATAGGGCCAGATTTAATGCATCCGAGGGTATTGAGGGAGTTAGCAGATGCCATTTCAAAGATAATGGCCAATGGCTCTGCAAACGCATGATTGAGGGAGGTCCTAGACAATTGGAAAAAGGCAAATTAGCACCCATATTTTAAAAAGGGAAGGACAATCCAGGAAACTACAGGCAAGTCAGCCTCTCTTCAGTCCCTGGAAAACACATAGAGGGGATCCTCAAGGAATCCATTTTGAAGCACTCGGAAGAGTGGAAAGTGACCAGGAATAGTCAACACGGATTCACCACGGCAAAGTCATGCCTGACCAACTGATTGCCTTCTATGATGAGGTAACTGACTGTATAGACATGGGGAAGGTGGTGGACATGACATATCTTGACATTTGATACGGTCTCACACATTATTCTTGCCAGCAAGCTAAAGAAGTATGGATTGGATAAATGGACTGTAAGGCAGACAGAAAGCTGGCTGGATTGTTGGGCTCAATGGGTAGCGATCAACTGCTCGATGTCTGGCTGGCGGTCAGTATCAAGTGGAGTGCCCCAAGGGTCATTTCTAGGGCCCATTTTGTTCAACATCTCTATTAATGACCTGGATGAGGGGATGGATTGCATCCTCAGCAAGTTTGCAGATGACACTAAGCTAGGGGGAGAGGTAGAAACATTGGAGAACAGGAATACAGTCCAGAGTGACCTAGACATGAGGATTGGGCTAAAAAGAAATCTGATGAGGTTTAACAAGGACAAGGGCAGAGTCCTGTACCTGGGGCAGAAGAATCCCAAGCACTGTTACAGGCTGGGAACCAACTGGCTAAGCAGCAGTTTGGCAGAAATAGACCTGGGGATTACAGTGGATGAGAAGCTGGATATGAGTCAACGGTATACCCTGGCAGCCAAGAAGGCTAATGGCATATTAGGGTGCATTAGGAGGAGCACTGGAATAGATTACTAAGAGAGATGATAAAAACCTCTAGGGATGGAGATTCTCTAAGTCCTGGCTTTAACAAAGCATCCTGGCTGGGATGATTTAGTTGGGGTTGGTTCTACTTTGGGGAAGGGACTGGACTTGATGACCTCCTGAGGTATCTTCCAGCTCTATGATTCTATGAACTTCCAGGTAGCTTCCACTACTTCCTTTCTTCCCCTGAAGGTACCTCGGACATTCAGCTATGGCAACAGATTTCCTGTCTCTACTAGCTATGCCATGGCAAGCCCCTAGGCTCATTAGTGCTGCCACTTCTCCCTTTACCCCTAAATTATGAGCTAACTTATGCTTTAAAAACTTACATTTTATTGAGGAGGATGCACTGTACAGACTTAGGCCCTTCTTATTTAGGAAAGCAGTTCCATGTTTACTTTAAGCTCTACCTTGCTCAGAAGATAATCAGTAAATTTGGGAGAGCTAGTTCTAATCCACTTTCTGTAGTACTGAAACACAATGCTATTAAGTATCAGAGGGGTAGCCATGTTAGTCTGGATCTGCAAAAGCAACAAGGTGTCCTGTGGCATCTTATAGACTAACAGATTTATTGGAACATAAGCTTTCGTGGGAAAAGGCCCACTTCGCCAGATGCATCTGACGAAGTGGGTCTTTGCCCACGAAAGCTTATGCTCCAATAAATCTGTAATGCTATTAAAGCACTGTTATAACATTACTACTTGGTATATGAATAATCCTGATTTCTCCCCATTCTGTGCTGCAGATCTAGTAACTAAAATCTGATAACAAAAGCTAGGGGGTGCAGGTTGAACGGCTAGGCCACAGTACAGCCCAGGTGAAAATTTGCATTTGGGACTCATGCACATGAGTACATGATGCACAAATCCTTAGAGCCCTGCATGGATACAATATTGGTATTCACATCCACAAAAATGTTTTGTAGATATCTGCAGATATAAAACAAACATCTGCAAATTTGCAGAGGTTTAGATACAAAATCTGAATCCAAATCCATATCTGCAAAAAAGAGCTGCATATGCGGATACCCATAGATATAAAGCAGATATCTGTGATTTTGCAGGACTCTACCAATGCTGAGTAATGGGTGGAAGCATGTTTTAGAGGTTGTAACTGAAAAAAATAATCACCTACTTTATGAAGAAAAAAAGGAAGCCTTTTACCAATTTCCTTGCTTTGTTTTATTTGTATTGTATTATCAATAAGTAAATTTTGACATTTTAGTAGAAATATGAAGGTACACATTAAAGGGGCACACAAAATGTGTTCATGGCATTCTTTACACCATCATAAGAGTTAAAGTTCCTCACATGCAGAACATGTTTCTTGAAATAGCTGTTCTGACACCAGTATACACTTTAATATAAAGGTGGCTGGCATATTAATACGCTAGAGTAAGCAGCAAGCATGAAGAAACTTCTATACCAATACAACCTTTCAAACAGGGAAATAAGGAATTCCAGTAGTAGCAACTTCTTAATATTGAAATATGGTAAGCACGAACCTGACATATCTGAAGACAGACGAACTCTGCAGTAACTCATGCAAAGAGAACTTCTGAACAGCTAAAAATATTGAGATTGGGTTTACTTCTGGCAAGTTAACAGCTGACACAGCACAGATACTAGAGCCACTATGCAACTACACATGTTAAAAGTATAGTTAGGGAATCCATTTGAGAGTATGAATTCAGGGGTTGGGCTAGCATTCCATTTAACCCATCTCTAGTCTATCAAACTCCTTTAGCAATATATTGAGCTTCCAAACTCCTGTAAGATGGAGAAGTTCTTATATGTAAAATGGAGAAAACAAAAGATTAGCTCCAAGATAAGTGTTCACTAAATTAAGGTACTTCACATGCAGGCACGCAACTTGAGACATAAACATGCTTTTTTAGATTTGGTGAACACAGCTCCCATGACTTCAATTACAATTGGTGTCTGACATCTATTTTTAAAAAAAGAAAAAAGTCAAGCCCTCAAAGTCAGCACCCAAAATTAGTACATATTTGTGAAAGATGAGCTCCAGTGACTTACTAAGAGATACAAGAAGCCATGGCACAGCTGGGATCACAACACAGGCCCAACTTCTACCTGAATAAGACCATGCTTCCTTTCATCTTTGTATCTAAGTATTGCAGGAGTCTCAAAATAGCAAGTGAAGTTTTTCATATAAATGTGATTAAATCCAAAGTTTCAGTTTTAGCAACAAATAGAAGTACTTACCCCTTTGTATAATTAGATTGGGAAAGTCCTCTTTAGAACACCAGACTGTTTGTACAAGGTGTGTTCTATGTCCTGCTCCACTCTTTCTTTTACAGCAAAATGTAATGGGTGTAAGGCTCTTTGAATGCATTGCCACTGGTAGCTTGCCAAAAAACAAGTTCAAATGGTTTCAGATCAACTGAACACAATAGAAGCATAACAGTTCCATGTATATTAGGGAAATTTTTCCCAGTACATACAGATAAACAATTTGAATCAGGAAAATGAGCAGACTATATACACACAAACTTCAAGAGAAGCAAGTCTATCTTCAACAACAAAATGGCCAAAGTAAAATATTTTGGCTGATAAGGAGGAAGGGTGCACTCTGTTAATTATGCCACAAAGTTCAAATATTGATCCAAACACCCCTAAAAGCTCATGGTGTTTAAATCAAACCCACTGTTTGGAGCACTTTTTGTTTTTCAGTATGAAAGAACTCTTATTTCAGGGACTACCCCTTTTCATAGAAGGGCAATATTAGGAAAGAAGATAGTGTCAGCTCTTCTATCACTGCCTTTTGTTTTTTCCCCCTCAACTCTTCTGATGCAACTACAACCAGCGGTCCCCACCTCCCACCTCTCATTAGCATCTGCTATTACAGATACGTTGTTTGTCATGAGAAAACTGGCATCTGCAGAAGCAGCCTAAAGTAAAGGGGCAGAGCCAACTCCATATTACCTGCTAGCAGCCTGCAGGGAACTAGCAAGTGCATCAAGAATCACTACGGCTCCACAGACCCATTTGTAAGCCACAAATCTGACAGACACTTGATCCTTCTTCTTAAATATTAACGGGATACAGCTGGCATGAAAACCGCATGTTAGCTTGCAGCCAAAGATAAAATACAGTCAATTAATAAGATTTCCAAAGTGTCACAGCAGAAATGGCAATTTAATACAGCAATGCAGGAGGTGAGCATAGGAACGACTTCAGAATGCACAGCACTTTGTCTTATTTTGTTGAGAGACTTTTACAGGAGATACTTCTTTACTGCAAAGATTTCTATGATCAATCTAGCCTTGGGATTTAGAGGAAAGGGAGGTTACCAAAATATGCAAAGTATTTTCCCTTATTCCCCAGAAGGAATATATAAATTGACACTGTTCAGATGACAGCCCACCAGATGCACTTCCATGCATAAGAGAAGCTAAACTCATAGTTTTTTTAAATAAAGGGAAAGCATTAAATATGTAGTGTTGGGGCAACATGAACTCCAATTCTTAGTTTATAAATGCTTCTCATACCAAACTTCAGTCTATATATCAAGATTTTTAGGCTTTGACAAGTGACACGCTTTTACCATAATCAGTGCACTCAAAATATTTACACAACATTATGGCTCAATATTACTGTAAGTGTTTTATACAAAACTTTGTTTTAAAAAAATATGACTTCATTCACACTCTAATAGTTCACTTTTGCAGCAAAATGCTGCCCCCTGCTGCTATGAATCTGGAACAGTATGGGTGTGAGTACCACTTCTGGTCTTCAGCTGTGATTGAGCAATATCTGCTAGAGCACTCTGTATCTTTTCTAGTAGCATATCCCCACGATAAACCACCTCTTCCAGACGAGCAGCTGCTTCATGGTTCTCTTCCTCTAACCGATACAGACTAGCAGCCTTGAAATACAAAAGAAAAGTTAGGGAATCTTGAATATTGTGTAAGGCAGAGTTTTCTTCAAGAGGGTAGGTAGAGTTGTCCAGGACCATGATGAAACATTAAGATCCCATCTTTAGCTCCTGCATCAGTCATTCTCTGGTGGAGTTCAAGAATACCATTTATCCACTATAAGTTTACCATCTAAAAAATGCACTCCTTGTCTGGAGATTAAATTAATCCACGAAAATAGAAATTTGTGTGTCTAAGATGGTCAATTTTAGATGAGCTCAATTACTGCTTTGTTAAAGAACAGAAATCAGAACTTTTGTCCCTACTCCAAACAGTAGGGTATAAGGCTTTCAAATCTTAGTGTGTGTTTGTACTACATTCCCCAACAAGCTCATCTTTGGAGCTGCACAGCCAGTGCCTCCAGAGGGCCAGGAGACATATACTTGTGGAAGACAACAGGAATTAGAATCCAACAATTATTTAACTGAAAACTGTATGACATGTGACTAGCTAAAAAATGAACATTTATACAATATACTCAGCAATGACCTAGCTATGTGAATAGAAAAGTGAAAAAAGTCAAGCCTTGGAAGAACAAATATTGCAGACCCATATATACATTTAGGGTACTGTCTGAGATGCAGCTATGGGTTACTTGACTAACAGCAGACATGCTGCTGTTGTGAAATTGAACTGTCTAGTCTACCAGCAGGATAAAAGCTTGAGCTGGTCTGATCTCATGTGATCACAGAAACCGAACCAAATCAAGGATGTCATGCTCATCTTCAAAGTCAAAGGATGATCATCATCCTTTAGTATGAATTCATGAAATCACATTTCAGGTCCAGCTTTTTTTTTTCTAAGTTATGCCTTAGTTAATAAGTTGAGTCTTTTTATATTGCACGTTTAGAACCTCCACTGTTTTTACTGAGGTAAACAGTGGTTTCCTCCATCCTTATATCCCAATAAAACTGACATTTATTTGCAACCCATTTAAGAATGGAAGTAAAGAATAAACAAAAAGCCATATCCAATTGGAAGTGTAATCAGAGGACAATTTGACCAAGATTTAAACATCTCCCCTTGAAGAAAGAGGCCATGGAACTTTCAATGATCACAATCACTAGTAAGTCTTCTGTTGAAAACAGAAATGCAGTGGCCCCTATAAAAAAAATCAGGCATAGGCACTGGTGCAAAATCAGACAAGAGGAAAGCATTCTGGTTAGTGGGCCATCAAAACTAGTTTCTGTAGTGCCTTGGTTTTCCCACACAAGTGTTATTAAGATCAGACATGACTCAGCTATGAAACATGACATCATGATCTGTGGTATGTCAGCAGATAAGACTAGGGTAAACTATTCAAGTTATTTGTGTGGACTGTGAAATTACAATGATGCTTACATGGTCTGAGTTTTTAATATAACTAATATGTTTAGTCACTACTATAACTAGAGAGCTAGTAGAATATAACACTTTTGTTCCATATTCTTAAACTATTTGGGGCAGTATCTATTTAGCCCTATTTACACTTCTCCAGTTTAGACATGACTAATCTCTTTAGTAATCTGCAAATATCATGTTTAACTCATCTTCAAGAATTGAAAATACAAACTTTACTCTTCACATCTTCAAATTGCTTCAGTGTAGCATATGGAGTTAGGGGGGGTATCTTTTACACATACTTACACAAAGTAATTTTTAAAATCTCTCTCGGAAGCTAGAACTGAGAAGGTGGTTGCTGCTAAGAAGGACAAGACAGGTAGGACCCAAGCAAGACTTTTAGAAAGAGATGAGCATTGGAGGAAACTATTTTGGGAGATAGGACTGACCTCTGGAGAGACCCTAGTAGGAGGCATGTAGGTCCTTTTGCAAGGAAAAAATTTGGGGCATCAAGCTAGCTCTGCTGACCTGCAGGAAGGTTTTCTTGTGAAGCCAAAAAAGGCAGGGGTGAGGGAAAATGTAACATTTCAGAAATGCTAAAAGTCCTTTTAAAAAATGAGTAGTTCCCCCCAAACTCAGATTACATGCTTTATTCCACTTGCTACTTTAGATTTTCAAAGGGGAATAAAAGGGTGCGTATTTTTTCCCCCTGATTTTCAAGTGGTTTAAGATTTTCATGATATTCTTACCTGCAAAGCAGCTGTTGATTCTTCACTAGGTAATGAATCTATTAGAACATCAATATCCTTAGCAGTTCGTGCAATCAATGCTGCAAATAACTGAGCATATTCTATAAAAAATTTTAAAATAGATAAGATTATTAAAGTATCTATTATGATTCAGTTGATGTTTTTAGAGGAGAGATGTGATAAACTTAGTGCACACTGAAGTCACAAATGACTTAGAATTTTACTCCAAATTCCAGAAGATTTACATTGATTTCAAACTCCAGACTAGTCTACAATTTAAAAAAAACTCTTTCCTGTACTGAAGACATGGTAACCTTCCAAATAAAACAAATCTAATACAGGTTAATTGTCAAAGACTGTTTAAACTGAGATTTAGAATCAATCTAACAAATGGCATGGGAATAACAATCTCTTTACAAAATAAGGCAGATACTCTATTCTAGCAGCATAACAAACATTCTAACTGTAATATAGTACATATGCCAGAGCTTCAAAATACTCTAATCTTTCAAAAAAAAATTTAAATTTGGTCACTGTACTAGCTAAAAACCAACAGGAATTAGATTAGATAAACCTAATAAATCTGAAATTTATTAAATGTACACCTACTTAGCAACAGATAAGAGAACTCTTAACATGGCCACTTCATAGATTTATCTTTACAATTCATTTTGCCCCTTTAACTTAAAATGCTTTTACTTTGTTAATTTACAAATTCTCCTAAAAAGTTTAGATCTTTAGTGACAGGAATTTAATTTCACTTCTAAACATGAAAATGTGTAGAGTACTTTCAAAAGGATATTTTAGTTTAAAGTCAATTCTGAATAGAAATGTTTTAAATCATGTTACAAGTAAAACACCAGGTTATTATAGCTAAAAAATTAAGAGCGAGAGCTGTATTTTTTCAATTTACTTTGAACATTTGCCATACTTTTAGTTATATTCCCTATTTCCCCTACTTGTAGGGGAAGCTACGTGTCTTTAATATAGCTGTACAGAAAAGAAAATATAAAGATAGGAAACTGACTATAAAACTCAGCAATAGGTATAGTAACCTAGATTTTCAAACTTTACTGTAATTGAAAAAGACAATGTTTACTTAAATATATACTGTACTATCACCAAATATCACCATGGCATAGAAATATTAAACTTCTACAGCTTGTACCTAATCTTTCAAAGATACTAGTATCTAAATATAAGAAGCTTAGTACAGTAAAACTCCAATGGTCCGGCATCTGATGGTCCGGCACCATCAGGAACCTGGAAGTGCTCCCGGCAGCCGGACCACTGGAGCTGCTCTGCCCCGGGCTTCCCAGAGTCAGTTGCTGGTCAGTTTCAGGAGCGGCCGACTTGGGAACACCTGGGGCAGAGCAGCTGGGGTGCTGCCAGGTTGGTCTGGTAGCGCCGCCCTTTGGCACTATGGGACCAACCCGGCAGCACCCCAGCTGCTCTGAAACTGACCAGCAGCTGCTGAATCTGGGACGGCCGGGGC